CGGGCGGAAAAACGTGCCTGCCCGCCGCGGCTCCTGTAAGAGCCCCGCTTCTGACAAGTGCGGGGACAAAAGGTTGCGGGATTTATTAATGCGTATTAAGGAGAATCAGGGGCGATCAATAAAAGCCTCATCTACATTCTTGGGCTACTTGGTAATTTTCTTGCTTCTGAAGCTTTTTCAAGAGTTATACCCTCTGTTGCCGCGCACGGGAAGATATTTTATTAACAAATCAATCGAGACTTTGTAAAGGATAAGATTAATAGTTAAGATTTAGCATAATGGCGTTCGCGTTATGAATTATTGAAAATTATACTATTGATTTTTTCCCTCGCTGCTAACCGAGAAGGTCAATTTTTGTTTTAACACAAATCGTCAAATATTAAAAGCTAGACTTCTGTCATAACTCGAGTTTTATAGGGAGGCTACATTCCTAAAATTATTTTACAACGCTCTCTCCCGACCGCCTGGGAAAAAAAGTGGGTTTTTCACTTGCCCTGGAAACTGAAAGCATCATAAAGATAATTTCTCCTTCTGTGGCGTTGCTCATTAAAAAACATACAGGAATTCATACCCTCACTCAACTCTTCGAGCAACTTTTTGTTTTCTTTTTTTTTTTTTTTAAGAAAAATAATCAATGCATTTGTATTTAAAAAAAAAAAAAAAAAAAAAGCCAAGGCAACAATAACTGTCTACACGGCAAATCAGCTTTTTCCGTCCCAACATTTTAAACGTGTTTTACTGTTTTTCCCCCCACTTCATGCCCATATTCACACCCGCAGCTGTTACATTTTAAATAGTGATAGTACAAACTGTTTATTACTCTTTCCTTTCTTTCTTTCTTTCTTTTCTTTTTTTTTTTTTCCAACTGTCCTCAAACTGGAGTATTTCTTATCTGGGACTAATGCTGTCAAGGACTCTCATGCAGACAAAGTGAACTTGTTGATAATTTTTGTTTCGGATTTGCCCGCCTGTTTATTTTGGGCCTTTCTAGCATCAAAACCCCCTTTCAGATCCCCAAGAGCGGGCAGCACGTGAAAGGATTTAAAAAAATCTAAACGCGTCTTTCGCCCAGCTGAAAACGTGCGTTTTCCACCCGCGTGGATTTGAATTTTCCCCCGTTTCCTGGCATTTGGATGCTTTGCGCTCTGCCGTACGCTTGAGACTGCTGGAAACAATAACCCTATTTAAAATTTCGCTGTGGCAATGAGACAGACCGTTTAAAACCTTATCGCAGCTGTTCAAATACAACATCATTGTCAGGTTAAGAGCCAGTGTCTTTTATGGCCGCGGTCGCCAGCTTCGGGGTTGCCGGAGAGTTTAAATATTACCTTCGCAATATTCGCTGCTTTCAAGATCTCCTCGCAGCGTCCCCTGCGCCTGGCGCAGCCCCCTGCCCTCTCCGGGCACGCTTCACCGCCACCGAGGGTTGAGCAGAGGAGCGGGCGCTTCGGCGAGACGGCTCTTTAAGATCATGATCAGAGCCATTGCTAAGATTCGCCCGCGCCGGGAGAGAAGCCGCGGCGGAGCCCACGACGCGCCCGCCGAGCGCGGCGTTCCCCCCCTCGCTTTCTAGCAATTTCCTCTTCTTCAACAACAGCCCGGACAACCCACGGAGTTTAAAGACACAAAATACTATTTTCCTTGACGCGGTTTAAGACTTGGCTGTTAAGTCTAATCAGGAATTTTATGCCCATCAAATGGCTCTTTCATAATCTTTATTTACACTTTAAGAAAAGGGGGTCCCAGAAATATCCCGGCTGAAGCGTTAGCCCGGAGCTTTGCGGCGGGTTTCGCTAAAGTTAAAACAAAAAGCGAATGCTGAGCTGCTTTGCCGCGCCAGCCTCGCTGGTGCTAGGGGAGCCCGCTCCTTGGCTCCTGCTCGGAGACGAGGGCTCTCTGATTTTTTTCTAATTGAAAATATGAATTCCTTGCGTGTCACTACACGGAAACTCGGACGATGGCTGTGATGATAATGATTTAAATATCGTGTTCAGGACCGGCAAACAGCTCCGTCAGACCCTTCGCTCAAGATAAATCATGAGGGTTTTTAAAAACAGGCAGCAATTTTTTATTGAAAATGAACAGTAGGAAAGTTTAAGTTTGATGTAAATAGAAGTTGAATAAACATGCGAGAGCCACCGGGGAACTGGGGACTTAGGCTCTGGGCATTTAATGTCACTCTTGTTTTAAATCATATTAAAATGGAATCAAGTAATTAACATTAATAAATAAATCAATATTGTGCAATAAATGAGATATACAATCTACATTAATATAAAGGTTTTGCTCTCAGAGTCCCATATTTTTCCGAGCGAGGGAGGGAAGAAAAAAACCCACCCAACCAATGGGTCCATGCAGATGTAAATTACTGTTTGTAATAAAGCATAGGTGGACATTACCGTTTTCTCCTCTAGCAAATGTCAGGGCTAAAAACTTGAGGCTACCAGACGTGGCAGCGGGGCTTAATTTTCACTGCCTTATCTTCCTAAACCTTATTAATGGTGATATGATTTTTTTTTTTTGCTCGGCTCTGCTGAGGATTCTCATAGTTGCAATTTGCTGTGTTTGTGTCTCATTATGGGAGGGGGATGGGAGAGGGGTACGAAAGGGGCTAGATATTTTGCAGATGCCTTCAGTTAACAAAGGTATTGCGAGAAATACCTTACTTTAAAACCAGGCTGGAACCCAGGAAGCTTTTAGTAAAATTCCCTTCATTTACTCGATTTCAGCATTTTATTTAGGTTGTCTTTAAACGCGCGGAATGCATATTTTATGTCACGCTGTTATATTGCAGGGTGATTGAAGAATACTTTTTATTTAAGAAAAAAAAAAACCCAAAACTGGCTACGATATCGTGTCCTTTCTTCTTTTAATAATGCAACTGTCACGTTGCCCAGATTTCTATGTGCCATATTTTCATAGAAAGAGTCGGCGTCTGGGCTGAGGGCTCAGATTCCCTGGATTTTTTTGACCGAGGGCGGGGGGGGACACACACACATACTGATGCCATTATGCCTTTTCCTAAATATGAAAGCTTATAAAATAAACAAAATAGCACGCTGGCCATTTCTTCAAAGGTGTTATTTCTGAGCGCGGGGATCGCACAGTTGCACTGACTGTACTCCCAGCTTCGCCCGAAGCCTCAGCCCTTCCTCTATTGTATTTCTATATTTCTCTGGATACAGAAGTGCGTATCGGGTATGATGGGATTTTAGCGTGTAAGATTGGTCGCCGATTCTGCCCCCAGCCTCGGTATTTGGGCTGCACATTTATCTTTCGGCAGACTCCTGCCTCATTTTTAGTTTAATCAGAAAATAAGCAAATGCCCTTTTCGTTCTCCTTGAAGGGCAAGCCCAAAGACATCTGGAAATGGCTCACAGCCTTTTCTGTCTAAAGGAATAAAACAGAGAAAGGGGTAATAAAAAAAAAAAGGAAGATATTATAGACTGGCACAGAATCATCACATTCAGACGATGGTTCAAAAAAGAAGAAAGCGGCGTTTCCATATTCCGGTATATTTTTTTTAATTAACAACACATCCTGGCTGCCATCACTCGTTCACATTCGCTGAGATCGGCCTCACTGTAATTGCGAGGGGTTAAAGCACCTCGTATGAAGCCTAATGGGGTTGGGGTTGGTGTGGGCTCTCACAAGGAGCCCTCTCACGCCAAGAAAAACAAACAAACACAAAAACTTCGCTAAACGTTTCCCTCTCGAAATGGGTATCTCCACCGAGAGACCAGCGGATTTTCCTTCGGGCTCCGGCTGCGCCTGCGAGGGGTACCTTTGGCGTCAGGGATCCCAAGCATTTCAGATTGTACAATGCCATTTTATTGCCGACGGAAAGGCTATTTCTAGGAAACTGTTACCAATGAACTTCTAAAAAAAACCCAAACCCCGACAAGCCAGCAGACAAAGTGCCAACAAACGCTTTCACGAGAGACGGGGCTTTAGAAAATGCGGAATATGGCTGAGCCAACGTGAAATAGATTTCGATGAATTCTGCAAATAAGCAGAAAGCAGCGAAGCCCTTTCTTTCCTCAGATTCTGACCAAAAGTGCGCACTGGAGGGAAAAAAATAAAACAGAAAACCAGAAAAATGGAACATGCTCGGTCACTGGAAAGCGTCCAGGAAATTCATAAGCTTCACTTTAATTTTCTAATCTCTATTTTCATTTTAATAGATCTCCATAGTACTTTTAAGGAGAGGGATTTCATTCAGCAATGCCTTGGCAAGGTGATTTTCGGATATTAAAAATATCTTCTTTTCGCTTTAGTCTCTCTGTCTCTCTTTAAAAAAATAAGCACTCTCAGGATCTAACGTTAATCTCGCCTTTAAATAAAATATGTTTCTAAAATTATGTTTTCTGTACCTAGAGGTTTATTTAATAGAAGCCTCGAATAAGAATCGAAGATAAACTGGAAACGCACGGTTTTTATATTACTTTTGTTCCATCCGCGTTAAGGCTGTCCTTAAAGAAGTAAATAGATTTTCGTTCTAGGAAACGAATACTGAATATCACTGGGTTGTGGGTTTTTTTTTTCCTTAGAATTATGGGATTTTTTTTTTTAAAGCTCGGATGCATAATAAAGGTTACGACACCCCACCCCCAAAAAAAAATTATTTTAAAGTGGCATATTTCTCCGGCACGTCACGGTTATGGGTTATTTGTTTAATAAATCTTTTTGATGCTTTATTTTCTCATTTGGAAGGCCCTGAAATCTTATCGTTACTTATATATTAGATATTTTATTAGCAGTGGGATTATTATTAGGGGGAAAATAGACTTGAACAGCAGGGCGGCCGCGGGCATTACAGGACATGGGCGCGCCCTCCTGTGGCCGCCGGCCGCCAAGCGCCCGGGAATTTCCTCCTCTCCCGGCGTCTTTCTCCTCGGCTCAGTTTGCTCTCACTCGCGGGTTTCCCCCTTTCTTTTTAAACAGAAACTTAAAACTGCTATAATTGAGCATTTACGCAAGATGAATGCCAGGGTGTTTCGGTTTCCGCGGCCCTCTTTTGCGGTGCCTCAGCGTTTTAAAGGCGCACTAATCCGCTAAGATAGACTGTTAAAGCACTGCAGGGGACAGAAAAGTCAAACGACTCCTTCTCGCCCCGTGGATTAAGGCGCGGGAGAGGCAAGAGCATTTTGCCGTAAGGTCAGCGAAATGCTTTGAGAAATTCCCCGCGACTTTCCGCGTTTCTGACTAACGGGCTTTGTGGGGAAAGGCACATCCGCAGAAAAGCTACGTAGAAATACCATCTTTCTCCCTAAATTACGAAGCGTTTCCTACAGCCCCCGCATTTTTTTTTTTTGAGCGAAAAAACATAATTTTTTTTTTAGAGCTAAGAAAAAAAGGAGATTTGGGGCTAATTCCCGGGGCGCGGAAGAGAAAAGCGAGGGAAGCGGGGAGCCCGCCGTGCTCCGGCTGGTGGGGACCGGAGCGGGGCACGCTCCCCGCCGCGCCGCGGAGAGGCTCACCTCGACCCAGCTGGGATTTTCTTTGCGTTATGATGCATTTGCTAATATGGCCAGCTATGCGGTAATAAGTGTGTGTGTGGTTGTGCGTGTGTGTGAGAGAGAGGGAGGGAGGGAGACAGGGAGCGCGAGAGAGAGAGAGAGAGTGGGTGGTGGTTGAAAATAACAGAGAACCTTAAGGCGCCTAATTATTCAGAAAGGTTAAAGGTGATGACCTTGACATTTTGGAAGTTCAAAGGCATACACTTATGTTTTTCTTGCTAAAGGGTTTAAAAAAAATTTTTTTTTAGTCATGCCTCCCTCCGCTTCCATTTCTCGATTTTTTGGATTCTCGGGATTTTCCTGACTTATTTGGGCACTTTTGCCTTCCCTGCCTGCGAGCGTAGCGAGAGCCGCTTCGCCCTATTCAAAAAAGGCAAATTCTTTCCTCACTCCTCGCCTTTATTGCACACTGCGGAAATCTCTTTTTCGCCCACCAGAAGGTGTATAATATAACCCAATTAAGCTGTTTAGAACCTCGGGTTTTATGGTGTTGTCTAGACAGTTCAAGGTTTTGTAAACAGCCCGGCCAGGTCAGGCAAGATAAAGCGGCGAGGAGCGGAGCGGACCTCCGCCGGATGCCTGCCCCCGCGCAGGGCCCGCCGCGGCCGGGGCGGCGGATTTAGGAGATGCACCCCTCTGCCTCCAAAGTGTTTTCTCTTTCTTTCTTTGTTTTTCTTCTTTCCCCCCTTTCCCCCCGCTAGTGCCGACTGTTTACAGCTCCCTCGTCTCTGACTCGCTCCGAGCCCTCGGTCTTTCTGCCTTACCCTTCAGTAACAAGCAAACAGTCGTTGGCGTTGGGGATTCTGGGCTTACTGGGAGCCTGGCCAGTTAAAAAAAAAAGACTTTTTCGTTGTTTATAGTAATTGTAGCACCATCAGAAGTGATGGTCCGCAGACAGCCATGTTGGCTCTGCCTCACAGCGAACAGGGAAGGTTGCGCATACCTACAAAGGGAGAGTTAGACATCTAAACTATTATTTATTTAAAATGCATTTAAAATAACCCGACTAGGCTTCCTCCCGTTATTATTTAACTGAACTTGGCTCTAGCCCGGGAAACGCTAGGATCCTTCGGAGATGGAAATCCATACAGTGCACGGAAGTTATAACCTTAACTTTACTAGAAACCATTTATTCACATGAAAAAGACAGTGGCCCGTCCTTTTGGATGACAATAGAAACATATATATATATATATTTTATATATAGCGAACGTACATTTACCATCTCTTAAATAAACCGCATTCACTTAAAGGGAGGAAAGTGTTATCCTAGCTCAAAAGCAACAACAGAGCCCCCCCGAACTCAATGAATTGTAAGCAAAAACTACCAGACACACTGCAGGTCCATGGCTGGTACTGTGGGAGAGGAAAAAAAAAAGCACCTTTGGCGAGAAACACTTGAGAGTGGACAGCTGGATTTACCCTAGTTTCCCCTTATCAGGAATCTGCTCCGCCAAGCCCCGAAATCTCCAGTGGCCATTCAGTGTGTGGAGTTGCACATGAAAATGAAACTTTGAGTTCCGCAGGGTGGATGTGTCATGTAAACCAATTTACTTTTGCATTCAGATGGCAGGTCAGAGAGACCGAGATATTCTTTGTTTTTCTTCTTTCTTCCTTTTCTCTTGCTCTTTTTTTAAATTTTCCCTTTCTTTTTCTTTCTTTTCTTTTTTTTTTTTTTTTTTCCTTTTCAAAATAAGGGATTCCCAGTGAAATATTGGAGTCGATCTCTGTTCAGTTTCTTTTCTTTCATCCTTCGATTCTGGAACCAGATTTTAACTTGCCGGTCAGTGAGGTTGAGCATTCTGGACAACTGCAGTCTTTTCTCTTTGTTTATGTACACGTTGAAGAAAAACTCCCGTTCCAGTTCTCTTATCTGATATTTGGTATAGGGACACCTCTTTTTCCTCGATCGCTGGGGAATTGCTGAAATTCAAGAGAGAAGAAACTGATTTACGCTGCTGCTACGAACGTGCTCAGCTAGGAAGAGATCAGGGACTTTGACAATATCCCATTGCCTGGAAAGCAGCCCTCTAGCAGTTCAAAAAAAATATTCCTGGGGCTTTTACTTTCTGGGTGACTTAGCAAAAAAGCAAATATTTCCCAACTTCTCCTTAAAGGAGAGGACTTCGAGCAATACAGAGAGATATTTAAATGGGCTGGAAAAATTCCAAGTTTCTCAAACTCCTCTCACACCCCCCGCCCCAAACGAACGAAGATCTTAAGCTCTAAACCGAAGGCAGCTCTGAGCACTACCTGTGAAATCTCCCTGTCTCCCCCCCGCCAAATCAACAATTTAATAACAATTAATATCCTCTTCCAAGAATACCTTAAGCCCACCTAAATTGGTTTCCTATCGTAAACACGCTTTACAACGGTAAAGGAAATCTTATAGGATATATAAAATCCTTTGGATGCTTATAAAATTGCACATAAAATGCGGCTTGACAAAGTGTTGGCCTTGTACTCTTGCCCCCAATTTACTACTGATACCTACCTGAACTGTTGCTCTTCTCTGCAACAGCCTCACCAGAAGGGGAATCGGCGCTGTTTGCTGGTGTCACTTTCTTCTCTTGGTTGGAAGGTGTTTTACTGCAAGTGCTGTTCTGGGCTTTCAAGTCGCCCTTGTCCGCGTCCCCCTCGCCCTCGGAGTGCTGCTGGTACGGGGGTCCGGGGGCTGTCTCGTAAAACTGGTCGAAGCCTTGCGGCAGGATGCCGTTCCTCCCCACCGAGCTGTAGAAGTTGGAGGCGGCGGGAGACGGTCCGTGGTGGCCGCAGACAGGGTCCGTTTTGAACAACATTTCCGTCCTCCTGTTCGCAGGCTGCAGAAAGTCTCTGTGCATCACCTCTTCAGCTGAGTAATAAGGAGCATAACTGCCCCTATACTGCCATTTGCTGCGCTCTAATCCGTATTCCCTGAATGCTACTTCGCGCACAGGTTGGACATGAGGTAAATTAGAAGAATAAGGAAAAGTCATTTGACAGGACGACGATTGCGACAAAAAAGAGGGTTTCGTCGAGAAATCTGAGGGTGAGACGTAATAAGCGCACCCTGGCAGATACATATTGGATGTGCCGTGACTGCAATCGTCAAACTCAGTCATGTCTTCCTTTTTGCGATTGCAAGCAACCAGGAGGCTTCAATGCATTGAACAAGATCCATCTATTGCACAAGAGGGTTTGGACAGGATCAACTAAGAAAAAATCCCCACCGTGTGCTGACGTGCAATTCATCTTGATTGATTCTAGTGGTAATTATGTCACGTGACGCGATGTAGAAATGTCCTTATATCTATATCAGCCCCTCGGAAAGGCTCCTAAGATCTCTCCAAAGAGCCCTCCCAGCACGGAGAGACGAGCGCAGCGTTTGTACAAATAGAGCCGCTTTTCCCCCTCATCCTTTCACCAGGCGATGAGATACACGTAGGTGGTGCGGCTAATCACCTGGGGCCGCGCCGCCCGGGCAGGCGCCTGCCCACCGCCGGAGCCC